AAAATCCTTTTTAGTGCATTCAGAGTATTTTTAAAGTAGAGGTGTTGTTTTGTATGATTACATGTTATATATGTCATATATGTTATATGAGTAGAACTTTTAAATGAGTTGCAGTCCAGTTTGGAATGCGAGCTTAAAATGATTTGTGTAGATATTGATTTATTAGCGTGGAAATGCATTCCCTTAGCTTTATAATAAAGAAAATATTTAGAAAAGTACAATTTCTTACATGGATTACTGAAAGTGAAGTAAGTCTTACTTAGTAAATGATCCAGGAAATTGAATTTTGAGTTTAGATTTTCAAAATCTGGTCAGTTTGTCTGAGTTTATTTTATGTACTGTCGGTATCTGCGGCTGCTGTTTTACACAAAACAGGTATTGCAGAGAACGATTTCATTCCTATAGATCTTTTTAGTTTTTTGGTATTAACCTTTCCAGTGCCAGGGACATTCAGAAATATTACTACACAGTACATTTACAATTAGTGTGGATATGGATTCCTCAAGATTAATGGGTCTGTGTTAACAAAGCAGGAACAGATACTGTACATTTATTCAATCATTTTGGGCTTGAGGTGAAGAGCCATAGTTCCCAAAGTGGTCTGTAATGGCACCGTTAGGGAACCGCAGAAAAGTTTGTAAAGATTCAGATTCCCCTGATGTGTCAGATCGGCAGAATCACTGAATGGTCATTTCGGCACTGAATCATTTGGAATCTTTCACATCTAATATAGACTTGAATATAGAATATAGTATAGACTTGAATAGTGAATTACTTATATTGCAGTGCTGGGACACTGGGTTCAATTCCAGACTTAGGGTGATAATATGTGTGGAGTTGATATTTTCTGTCTGTGTTTGTGTGGATTTAAAACAGGCGCCCTGGTTTCTTCCCACAGTCCAGAGACATACCAGTAAGGTTAATTGGCTTGTGGGAAAACTGTCTGTGTCTGTGTCTTGAGATGGACTGGCATCTTGTCCAGGGTGTATCCTGCCTTGTGCCTGTTGCTTGCCGGGACAGGCTCTGGCTCCCCTGTGACCCTGAATTGGATGAAGCGGTTAGAAAATGGATGGATAGTGTATATTATAAAAAATATCAAATATATCCTAAAAACTTAAGTATTTTGTTCATTCTTAATTGCCTTTATTTGTGTCATTGTAAAATGGGGGTTCCTTTTACAATAGCCTCAAAATCATTAATCCAGCCAGATGACCTTGAAAGCCTTTGGTCTAAGTCATATTTGCAACATGACCATTGAGTTACAGTATGGGTGTAAGGGTATTTAAATGTGAAGCAGTTCATCTCCTCCTGTAGTTTTAAGAGTGAACAAAGTTCTATAAAAACTTAAATACCTTCTGTCGCTTCAGTGATCTCTCCTCAGTTTAATAAGCATGTAACATCACATTTCACAGATGCAGACCCAACAAATGCCTGACTTATAAAGCATTATATTCACACATTACACATCTTGGATGATTGGAGTGTTTCATCACAAACTGCCAAGCTTAATTGGATGCAGTTGCTTGCTTTAACTGTCATGATAAAAGAAAGGAGAAGAGAAAACAATAAGGTATCTGAATTTTATTTACTTTTCATTAGTATAAGATAAGATAACTTTTTTAGCCATATACAATTTCTTGCATTAGGAATTTGTCTTTTCATATACCCCAGCTTGCTCTCCATGAGACACACAGGCAGTGAGAGAGAAGCTTGGGGTCAGAACACAGGGTCAGCCATTTATACAGCACCCCTGGAGCAGCTGGGGTTAAGGGCCTTGCTCAAGGGACCCACCAGAGTAGGATTTTTCTGCTGGTAGTGGGATTTGAACCACCAACCTTCCAGCAACAGGTGCAGATCCTTAGCCACAGTGCCACTGCTCCATTTCTATCCTTAGTGACATGCACTTTACAGATTATTTCAAAAAGATCCATGACATTCTGTTGAGCACATCATAATGGAATGGAAAAGCATTAAAACTGTCTTAGACGTTTGATAGTTTGAGTACACAAATCATGTACTGTATGTCTCATTGAATGAGTGATAAGCCCTTTGTAACTTTTACTCAAGGCTGAAATAAATATTTCTTTTTACTGTTAATTAATCACTTTAGGTTTGTCACTTATGGAATGTGAGATATCTGGGGAGTATGGGAACTGTAGGTGCTGTGTTTGTTTACTGGGTATTCAAGGTGAATGGCTTACTGTATATTGGACTTGACCAAAAGCTAACTATTAATCAACTTTCTGTTGCACACTGTGCTAAATACCATTGAGGTGAATTTGCAAATTAAAGTGATACACATGAGAACTATAAAGCAGATTTTCAACAAAAGCAGAAAAAAGTAGTGAAAATAGAACCAAGGGCTAACTCTTGAAACTGAATTTCAGGCTTCTCCTACAGTACCTTGGCACCCATGCTGCTTTTCCATATTTACATTTTTAAACAATTATCTTAAAGGACACAGAGATAGTAAGCCTTGATGCTGTGATTAGGTGAATTAAGATAGGAGTAAAAGGTCAAATCGACATTACCTTGTTCTCAAAAGAACTGTGTTGTTGTTCCTTCCTCTAATTGCTAATATGATGCAACAGGGAAATGGTCTTCCAGTAGTATGGTAAAAATTAAAAATTGAAATATGTTCTAAATGAACTGTCATGCAAATGGTTATAGTTTGTTTGAGAGATATAATGTATTTGTTTTCATATGAGTTGACAAATATATCTTACTGCTCCAGGTACCATCAAAGTTGAGGCTTCTGAATAATTATAAAAATATGGTTTCAAACACACACAAATTCAAAAAAGTCCCAGCTAGTTTACAAATAAGTAGTACATAGTGGTTTTACATCCCCCAATTTTAACAAAGCCCCATACTTCATTTCCATATCATCTTTAAAGGAAGCTCTTTAAACACTGATACATTACTTTTGGAAGAAACACAAGCACTAAGCAGTGCAGCATTTGCATTGTATTTAAATGCTCACACTTTGAGTCAGGTAATTTTCTGTGTGATTTGATAGAGCTCAGAAAGGGGAAGCATACAGTAGATGCAATTAAGGCAATGCTTAAAAGCATCTTTTGCTCAGAGCCTCAAATTCTAATCACTGAAATCTGTTTGAGCACAAGTGAAGGTTAAAGGTGACCTTGGAAATGAATATACTGAATATGATAAGTGTGAAAAAAGACCTTGTCTGCAATACATTATGGGAGCTCTTAAGCACTGAGGGAAGGTTGCAATGATATGGTAGGTGAGAAATAACATTGTTGGGTAGTGCCTGGTAATCAGATGACAAAAACATGAGTGTTTAGAAGTGAAAAGAAAAAAAATAGGGATAAGGTAATTTTATGTAAATAATACACACCAGCAAAATTGTCAAATACCCTGTTCACTTATTGTAAATTCTGATGGTACAAGAATACCATGGTCTGAAGTGTAATACTTGTAACTTGTGTACATTTTGCATAATTCCATAGCAGATGATGATGAAAGAACTCTTAAATGAGGAAAAACAAAGCTTTTATTTTGAAAATGCTTCCTGATCGGAAATTGCTCACTTTGCCTGACCTAGTCCCACACGTTCAATCAGTTTAAGATACAGATTGTACTGAATGTATAAACACCTCGGGAGCATATTTTTCTGGAAGGAAGAGTGGTGTTGCCACAGACAGCACAGTGTAATATTAAAATGTTAAGCTCCGATCAGCATTTGTACATATGATGTTTTTAAAGATCTTACTGTAAAAAGATCCAATATTCATTCGATCTCTTAATAATTAAATCAACTCCATAAGCAGTATTATTGAAAGACGGAGATACTGTACTTCTGACTGAACACAGAAGCAGCTAATTCACACCAAACTTCATTAATATTTCATTTCAACTGAAGTGAGCAGCATTTTCTGTTACCGTCACTCTGTCCCTCTTTTAATTTGAATGAGGCTGGCTTGCACTAATGGGTTAGATCTGGACAGAGTTTCAAATGATTTAAAAACAATCATTTTGAACAACAAAGCATAACTGTGTTGCCTGTGTTGAGAAATTCATGTCATAGTATGGATGGTTTCTTTCGTACGAACTTGAGTATTTTTTTCTCTTAAAGAATTATATTCAAGGCTGCATTTCTAACATTGAAAAGAATTCCACAAAATATGCAATATTATTTTTTTTGCGTGACAAAAGTCTAGGCTGCAAGCGAAAATTCATTCCAGAAATCTGTAGCTAACTTTAATTGAAGTGTACGCCTTGTGCGCCCCCTAACGGGAAAACCTTGCCACGGCGCTCTCGATACTGCTAATTGTGTTGTAACAAGCTGACTACTGAAGCGACACGTGAAATATTTTCGTGCACAGAGATCTTTGGTGGAAAATAAGAAGGAGTTGTTTTTCTGAAGTAGCCTGATAAAAGGAAACTCTTACACTTCTGTGCAGGGGGAATCACCCTACATAAGCAACAAAATAAAATGAAAACCATAATGCATTTGTATGCCCAAAACATAGCTTACAGATAGCAGATTTCTCTAGTTTTGTTTTTGGATTTGTTAGATGAGGAAGATATTAGAAAAAGTCAACTGCATTTGCCATATTTGGCATTGAGGAAATCAGATTTTACTTATGGTAAATGTTTATTATTTGCACATTGTAAAGGAAGTACTTTTAAATTCCAGAGATTTACTGTACACTATAGCAATCTTAACAGCTTATAAATAGCATTAAAACAAATCAACACAGTGGTTATATAGCATTGTAAAATATGTTCCACCTATTGTAGAACCCCCCCCCCCAATATTCTTACTAATGTCAGCACTTTTGACAAAATGAACACACTGAATCTTGCAATATATTTATTTATAAGGGCAGGGGGAACAATCCTTATAATCAATCTTAATAAAAAATTGTTGGCACTTCAAGCCTTCAATTCCTATACAGTACTTCTGTGCATGTCCTTCTGTTTTTTATCACCCATCAAAAAATTGACGTTTTTTCCTTTTCTTGGTTCCACAGTATTGCCATCATCTCGCAACACTCCCAGCCCCATTGATCCCGAGAGCATTCAGGTTCCTGTGGGCTATGAGCCAGACCCTGCAGATTTGGCCCTGTCCAGTGTCCCTGGACAGGAGATGTTTGATCCCCGCAAGCGCAAGTTCTCCGAGGAGGAGCTCAAACCACAGCCTATGATCAAAAAGGCCCGCAAGGTCTTTATTCCAGATGATATGAAGGTAATTTGGAGCTGGTTTTCAGGGGTTTGTGGACGCAAAGCACACAAAGTAATTAATCAAAAATATACACCTTTTCCTGTTTGTCTGAAAAAAAGCGCAGTAAAATACTAGATTTGAGGATTCCCTCCATCCATTTCAGGCCCTAGAATGAAAAGTAATAATTGAAACTACAGAGAAAAAAGGTGAAATCACTTAAAGTGTTAATTTGATTTTAATTATCTGATGTCCATTTAGCAATTTTGAGAAAGTAGAACCGTCATAGTTCAAACGGTAAAGTCTTATAATTTTGTAATTTCATGGCTTTGGTCTAAAATTGTTTTACTGTGATAGTGATATAGATATACAGTAAATGAAATTCACCCAACCCATTTTCAAAACTTCTTTTTAAAACCAGTTGGGTGTGTGCAAAAAAGCATTAAATGTATTTTGATGTAGACAAAGGTGTGGTGAAAATTAATTGGAAGTTAGGAATAATTTCAGTTGGCACTTCATTGCTATTGATACATCAATAAATAAAATGTGCACAGAAAAAGGTCTTTCTCAAATGGGGACACACTAAGGTAAGCCATTGTCAGGCTATTTAAGGTTACAGGAGATGTGAGGTTTTAAATTAGCAGCACATGGGATTTAAAAAGATATACAAAGGAGGGGGAGTTTATTTTAAAACCCATGAAGAAGATGAATCTAGCTTCAAAAATTAACAGACATCACATACATACAGTAATGTGCTGTTCTGTTTTGCCAAAGGACAAAAATAGCGTTTTTTATTGCAACAGGTAGTTTCCTCAAATCTGCCATCCAGTGATTTGCATGAGAATAAAAGGGTAACACACAGAGATGTAAATTAATTTGTGTGGGCTAGCCTATCTCTCTGCCTCCTCATAATCACAAAAGCTTGCCCTTGCTTCGTACTGCAGTGCTTGACCCCAGGTGACATTTTATCCCAGAGAGCCCATTAGCCAACCGGCTATAAGGGGGACGATGTAAGAAGATTAAACTCAAGTCAATCGTCTCTGGGCTGTCATGTGATTCTCAGTTCTCCCAGCATCGCTTCTTTTAGGTTGGGATTAAGAGATTTGCCTTTCCAATTTGTTAAAATAATGGTGTGTACGTGCTGGGTTTGCTCAATAGTAAATTGCTTAAAGCTGATTTTGTGGCATAGAGCAGCCTGGGAAAATTAACTGATTTTGGAACAATGTCTATCACAGCCAGTAAATAAGGCAATCCCATTTCAGTCAAGAATCTGAAGATCCTTATTTCAGTTATTCTGTGGACAGTATAAGACAACATTTGAGGTTTCTACGTTTTTAAAAAAAATCACAATCACGATTTTGTAGCATTCCACTGAACTGTTTAATAAGCAAAATCAAAGTTTGGTAAGTTACTTAGCCATTTTTCACTATTTAAGTGCATGTTAATTTGCTGATACAGTGAAGTTGTCTTTATATGACAGACATGTCAATAAAAAAGACGATTCCATTTACTCTTTGAGTGCTTCAGGTTAACCCGACTTATTTGTTTCTTTCTTATGAAATATAACTTGGTACACTTTTCTCTTCCTTTTTTTGCCATTTTTGAGCAGGATGACAAATACTGGGCAAGGCGCAGAAAGAACAACATGGCTGCCAAGAGATCGCGGGACGCAAGGAGGCTGAAGGAGAACCAGATCGCCATCCGGGCTGGCTTCCTAGAGAAGGAGAACTCTGCTCTGCGCCAGGAGGTGGCTGACTTGCGGAAGGAACTGGGCCGGTGCAAGAACATTCTGGCCAAGTACGAAGCCCAGCATGGACCGCTGTGAAGCATGGAGGGGCCAAGCCACTGTGGAGGAGTTTGAAGGACAATGTGTCTCCCGTTCAGTAGCTCCACCCCAAATCCCACCATTATTTCTGTCTTCGGCACTTTACCAGAAGCAGAAAAAAGATCGCTATATTATTTTTTTTGGTGTTCAGCACTTCCCATTTTAAACGGAACCCCCTCCCTTTTAACTCCTTGTTGTCCTGTGAAAAGATGCCATGTCTGTTTCCTGTTTTTATGTTTTATACACATTACCTGGACTGGGAACTGTTGTAGCACTTTTTGTTTCCTTTTTATTTTATGTTTTTTGGAGTTCAGCTTCAGAAGTACTTATGCTACCTACCAACCTGTTCTGTGTGTCTGAATAATCGTTTTACTGATTCAGAAACCTAATTGTACACTGTCTTGTACAATTACATTCTTTTTCAGATGTTGACAAAAAGTTAATCCAGTAACTACAGTGCAGAATTTTAGATTTTTTCTTTTTTGTTTTTTTGTTGTTGTCAATCCTATTATTGTACTTTAGTTTATTGATGATCTTTGTCTTTTGTTGTCAAACTTACAAAGTGCTGTGAGAGTTAACTAGAGCTACAATAATAATATCCAAGATTCCCTACATATGCTCATTTATTTCAGACGAGCGTTTAGGTCTTTTAATTTCTCACATCTTGGTATATAGGATTACTTCATATAGAACACAGAAAACGTGTTTTCTGGCACTGTCAGTACATAAAGCAATAATCCTATCATAGGCTAAGACATGCTGCCTGGATATTTCTTGTAGACATACTCCCTTCGTAAGACTTTCCTCGTCTTTAACAGAACCAGCGAGCCAGTTTATAGCATGATCATGCTCAGTATTAATATGGAGAGTAATGCTGATGTGGTGAAAGACGTTTCTCCATCTATGACTCAAACCGGTTCTGTAAATCAGAGCCCCTCCTCAAGTACCTGTGCACTGTTGCGTGTTTTACAATCTGAAATGGTGCAATGTTTCTACAATGTTTGATTCAAACCTGCTTGATTTTTATGTCAGTTCCGCTTTAATCTAAAATTCTCTTTTAAATACTCATATATTGTTTAGAATTGTTATTGTTGTTATTATTATTGATACATTATTTTGGCATGATTTTTGTTTAACTACACAAATGTCAAGCAAATCAAAAACCATTTACTAGCAAGTCAGTACCTTTTTTTTTCTGAGCATGAATAATTAGAACAATCAGCTTAAAAGGATATATTTTTGTGTCATTTTTGTAGCTACGTGTTTGCCTTCTTTTAAAGATGGTTGTAAGATGAATGTAATAGACGTAAAATGTAAGGTGGATGGTGTTGTCCTTATACTGTGGCTAATCCAATCAAGTTTATTAATGTTTACTACAGACCAAAAGATATAATGATTATAAAGAGTTTTAATGTTTATACAAAGCAAGTCTATAGGTTGTTTTTGTACAGTATTTTTCCTATACAAATACTGACAATGTATTTTAAAAGGCACAAAACAAATATACATATATATATGACTCAAAGAATAGGGTTGCTATTTAAATGCTTAAATATATAATATATAATCATTGCTGTTGTTAAAAAAAGAACTGCTGTTAGCCTGTCTTTACCACAGTACCACACAGTAGGCCCACTAGTGGCCTTACTACAAAATCCTTTCTTAAGTAACAGTCATTTGGGCTTCATATCATTGGAAAAAAAAATAATTGTAATTAAGCATTTCCCAACTATTAAAATTACTCTTTTCCAAGGTCAGCCTGGCTTTAGTCAAATAGCACAACAGAATCAAAAGGGACGTGAGAAAGACACAATCTAGCCTGTATCCAGAAGCTGTCACTTTTATCATTTGCAGACCTCTAAGTTGTTGCTGTATTTGACAGCCAGACCTTTTTATTGGGAGACACAACTGAAGATCACCCCCCCACCTTCAATTTGAAATTTGTGTTTCATTTTTAAGTGCTGTATTTTCACTATGGCACTCACCTAGGTGCGCCTTTATTGCCCTTTAAAAAGTCACTTTAGTCATTTTAAGAGCATTGAATAATTGTATATATTTACACGTAATATACACTTTGATTGTGAACATTAACAAAGCAAAATTGTTGGCAAAACAGAAAGGAATGTCACCTACATGTATTTAATAGTACACTATTTTTCAGTAGGAAGGCTGATAACCACTCAGATCTGGCTGGGATTTGTCTCTCCCAAACAATGACCAGTCAGTATACTGTAGAATGCAAAACTAAGGAAAGTGTGAAGTGAAGCTGTTAAGTGATATTTCTACATACTTCACATGCTGTAGTAACAGTGCTTGTTCAGAAGCTTATTTTTTCTTAATCAGATTTTTGTTTTTGTAAACTAGTACATGTTCATTATTAATCTTTCCTTTGTGTAGCAGGCTATGATGTTTATAACAGGAGTGTAATGAATAACTGCTTGTGATTTGACAGTTCTTTTGTTTTTTAAAACTTTTATGTGCTACTTCACTGTTGGAACAAATAGCATTTAATTGCATTAAAGGTTCTGAATAGTGGGATTTATATGAACAAAGTTTAGCAGAATTTCTTCCCAGTGATTGTCTACATTGGGACAGGAAAGCAAATGCTGTTTGTTCCGTGAACTAAAGATGAATTGGACACAATATATTTCAATGAGTTATCATTACCCCCCTCGTATTTATATCACTACCTCATATAAAGGAAATAACTACGATTCTGAGTCTATTCAAGTGCCTTGAATACAATGACTGTTACTCAGTCAACAGAACAATATAAAGAGTTGTACCACCGATGCAAACTTGAGTCTTCACATACTGTATGGCTTGGAAAGGCTCAGAACTGCACTTAAAGGGCTGTCCAGTCCATCAGTCTCCAATTTATTTTCTCATTTTGTTTCTCTGACATTGTAGTCGAAAGATTACCATTGTATTTTTGGCAACACCACTAGGCTGATTCACTAAAGGGTGCATTAAGGACAATTTTATCTTGTATGTCATGAAATGGATGCATTTACTGTTCAGCCCAAGCCGTCTTTATGTCTGTAATTCTTAGTGTTTAATAAAGTCTTTACAATTTACTCTCTTGAATGTGACAGTTTTTTTGTTGTCAACTTTTTAGTAGTTACCTGTGATTCTTTATGTTGACGTGACTTTTTAAAAGGATTCAAGATGGGGGTAGAATGTTATAACAATTCTGACAGAAGATTCTGATTTTTTCTTTGGTTTTAAAAAGAGTAGTGCAGCTATGAACTTTGATTTCCATTTCTAAAGAGTCCTTCTTTGCAAAGACAGAAAAGCATTAGCTACTCTAAGATTTTGACAAAATAAATTTCCAGAAAAAGTCATGTAATTCTATTACACTTTATTGATGATCAGTACTCTCTAGGCACGCACCATATACAGTAAATATAACTTAAAAACAAAACAAACCAATCATAATTAATACGTCTTCAATCTTGTCTTGTATCTGTTCTATATGATATATTACATCATAAAATTCCAAACGCTCTCAACGTTGAACAACCTACTTCTGATCAATGAAACAAGTGAGTTAAATTAGGTCGTGTGGAAAACATTTGGGAAAAACATTTGAATATCCTTAAGCCCACAAGGACCAGACTTCCCTTAACTGAATCAATAATTTGCTTTTTTGATAACAAACATGACAAATGTTACCAAACTTTAGAAACATGATTTAGAATAACCTATACATCCAACTCTAATCTCTTTATCTACAGGAGCTTCAGAATGAGAGCGCAAGGCTAATTACAAAAATAAAAAAAACAGTCATCTCTTGTCATCGGTCATGTCTTGTACAGTATTTGTGTGATACTGTAGGTACGACCTGGGAATATACAGAGAGAAATTTCTGGCAAATCAAAACCAAAAGTTAAAGTATTAACTGTAAAAAAACTGTAAGTAAAAACTGTAATAAATCAGCCACCCCAGACAGTGATTTCAGACAGTTTATCTATGTGGTTTCATAAATTACTTTCATCAAAAAATAGAATTCATCTTCAAAATTAAAAATTGTTGTTGCATGACATATATTGCATAGAAAAATGAAATAACTTGATAAGAAACATTTTGATGCCTGACTTTTACTATGGACTTGAGTATTTAAAACCATGGAAAATTCCATGTCAAATGTAATAGCAGCAGTTACTGCACTGCAAGACAGGTTGTCAGAATATTTTCTGCCAGTTTGAAGTTTAACAGATGTTTATTTTTAACCTACACAAAATGAGGTTTAGAAAATCTTCTTCCCTGTTGATAATTAGTGGTCTTCATTTTAAAACATGCTTTTTGGTAGCACAGAGTACTGTTTCTTCATTTGTGCCTTTAGCAGAAGCAGCACAGTACTATTTAAAGCAGTAAAGTGCACTTTATAATTACAGCTCTGGTCAGTATTCTGCGTAATTGAGTTATTGAGGCTCTTGAATCTGGATGTCTGATTTCAGAAAATCACAGCAGCAGATGCCCAGGATGAAAAATCAGAATTTGTAAAAGCTTTGTTTCATAGAATTCGGTGAAATTGATTTGGAAGCTTAAAGAGCTGTCACTTGGAGTTCCCTGGAAATTAGGAATTTGTTTGGATTGGATCCAGTGTAGATCCAGAAATCCAAGAGGTATGATACAGCAGGAACTCCTCAAAATTAATTTTCTGTTCATATTCTTGTTCAATATTTTTAAATGAAAATATGACACTTCTAAAAGCTCAGCAGGTGCAATGTATTCTTCCAGTTTTCCAAGTATATTGCAGATCAAGGCATTTGTTTTTAAATCAGCAATGAAATTATACATGGCTGATTACTAAAAATAATATTAAATATTATTATTTAAATGCTTAAACATATAATATATTACATATAATGTCAAATATTATAATTACATGAACTTTCCCCATGATAAAAAATATTAATGGATACCTCTAATGGAATAATCTACTAACAGAGTAACTAGTTTTTGTGTTTATTTCCAAGTACATACATTTGGATAGTAATGAAGTAAGAATACTGTATACATTTATTTACAAGGAACTAAGATTTATATTATAGTGTATATTTATATTGGTAAGTACGTCATAATACCCGAAGAAGGCTCAACAGCTGAAACATGTTTTTCTTCTTTTTTTCAGCATGGAATAAACATTTACTTGTTCCTTTGCAGCTTGCGCATGCTAACACAGCTACCTGCTTGAACTTTGTTATAATATCTGCATCTTTCACATAATATAATAACAAAATGTCATTCTCACAGTGCAAAATGCAATATAAAGAGTACAGCAAAAATAAGGCAATAACATTAAATACATATAATTTGATCACAGTAATCATATACTGCAAAATGAAAGAAAAATCAAAAAGCAATAAAGCAATAAAGCAATAGCCCAAGTAGCACCTCAGAGGTGCCTCTGAGACCTTATTTTCGTCCAAACATCTGTAACATCTGGCATGTGCAATAAGATTCAAGACTTTCAAGCCTTCTGGTTCATACATTTAGTCACCTATCCAAAAAACAGTAATTTCCATTGCAAATGTGGACTGTGCTTCAGCAATCTCTGAAAATGTACTTTGAACTGCTAGATTCTGTATAAAGAAAGGATGGCAATACAGGATGGCTGTGTTCTTCTATGTTGTAATTTAACAATGCTGTATGCTATTAAGCTACTACCAAATAGTATTCAGCTCACGTTTTGTCAGGGGTGTGTAACAGGTGTTTTGTTTTCAAAGTTAAGTCAAGTCTCTCTGTATGACACATTTTAAATCCATGCTTTAAATGCCCTTACCAGATCTACAGTACCACAATGCAAGAATTTGGGAACACAAGTGAAAATTAAGTTTAGGAGCCTTCAGGTCAGAAGAAGATACATATTGTACACAGTCTGCCTGCAACTAAACCTCACCGGACTCCATTAAGGTTTAAATTTTAAGTTGGAATTTTTAAATGATTGCAGTTTTTAAATTTGTTAATGTAGTTAGCTTCATTTTTAGCTTTTGTTTAAAAAGATAAGAAGTATTGAAATGTTTAGTCTTTTGTTGAAAAAATATAAACTTTTTAAAACTATCATTAGTAGCGTATAAAATACTGAGGTGAACGATTCTTGGTATTCCTGGCACAAGAGAAGTCTGGCACAAATGAATTTGGACCTGCGTTTAGGACAACGGTTTTATTCCAGACTCAATTTGAATCAGAACGCAAAGAACTGGCCTATCTGAAAACTGAAAAAGGTATTTACCTTCTTGTTTGCTTCGTTTATGTTTCAAATGAGACATTTTTGTCTGGTTTAGTTTTCATTTATACACTTTTATTCGTTTGAAAAATATTTCAGGTTTTTAGAAAGAGCATCCGTTATAAAAAGTTATAAATTTGTATGTTCTGTAGGACTTTGAGTTGTGTAATATATAATATGTTAATATACGACAAGAAATGTAATGCAATGGGAGTTATCAGGGGGCAGATTCAGCATTTTCAGTAAATATTTTGTTTCAATAGTGTTAGCGGCGAGCAGTTATCAGTGTCATTACCAGGGGGCGCTCGGAGATCGCTAGCAAAGCTTTGACTTCTATGTCAGAAACTAGATTGATATTTATATATCGAGACTGCGTAGTAAAATTAATTAATACATTACTGCTGGTAAAACATATGTACTGGATTTTTATGCATTTAATCTTACTTCTAACTAACTTAATCACAACCAACCGCAAACTGCAAAAATAGGTAAGAAAGAAAGAGGATTGTAAACTACTTTCAGTAGAGAAGAAGTATAAAATTTGAAATAACATAAAATTATTTTCCAAACACAAGACCAAGATCATTCCGATTTAATATATATATATAAGGGCAAGAGCAACGCTATTTTTATATTTCGGGGTTCAGCATTGATGAGGCATTTCAAATCACAATAAAAGTAAAATGTACACAGTAACTTGTAAAACTTACAGTTTTGTTGTCATAAAATAGACACCATTTCCAGCTGTGTTCAGCAACATATTTTGTGATTTAGAACGAGGCAACAAACTGACTGAAGTGGCCTTATTATATTGTAAACAAGCAGGCTTGTGAATACATCTTGCCAAAATGAATACATTTCGCCGATGAATGTAACTTGTTAACTGTGCATGCATATCGAGTTGGAAACTTTCTGCAGTGAAATATCTGCTGCACAGCCTGTACTTAATTCGCTCGTACATGGCATTACATTAGTCATTAGATTGACTAGCGAGCAGGAAGGGCCGCCACATAGCACAGTTCAGAGGAACTCCCGTTCTCACCTGTGACGAGACCAGGGGTTTGAGTCAACATGGCGACTCACAGTTCACGATTTTGCGCTCAATTCAAACTTTGTTATTTTTTTCTGTGTCATCAATGAATTAATTTTGTTACCACGATTTAATAACCACTCTGAGAAACTGGGACTGCAGTTTCCCTTTAGCACCTAAAAGATTAACATGATTTAGATGTTGCAAAGATAATAGATCAAAATACACTTCAAAATGCATTCGCATTTTTTTGGGTTGTTCAACAGGTTATTTAAATGTCTTGAAACCACTGCAATCCACCCTCCCTACCACTATGGAGACACTCCCAAATTGAGATGGAGCACATTCTGCTCCTTGTTTACATGCAATGTGTGTGAAGGTTTTAGTTCATGCTCTCCTGTAGGCCTTTTTTAGACAACATTTTTATTGCCAGTATCTGTACACATAATGAGATAGAAAGGCTGTCTTAATTTTCATTATTGACATAATCTCAAGGTAACACCCTGACACATGGGATAAATAATTGATAGGTGTTATAAACCAAAGGGCACTGTGGTCTTTGAATGTTCCATTTAATATATCTTCTGCTTAAACAGGACCTGTTATATTTTAAAGCAGCTGTGCTTGTCAAAGCACTTCCTGTTCTGTGTTTTATGGTATATGCTGGGAAAACAGCAAAAATCTACGTACGCAGGAAATGTGAATTTAGTCATTACCTACAAAAATATTACCTTTTTTTTAGCTTTTCTGTGTTTTGCTTGTAGATAATTTTATTGGCCATGTATAGTTTCAAACAATTTTAATAGTTTCTGTTTTGATCTCTCACCATAAAATTTGCAGCCTTCCTTCATCAGCTTAACAGTGAACACAACACCATGTTTTTTAAGAAATGTCTTCCTGTAAGGAGTTTTGCAGCATTTATCAAAAGTTGGTTACATAAACCCATTTTATTCACATGAGGGACCAGATTGTCATTTCTGTTAATCCCCATTCCTTTTCCCTGCCTCATCAGACATTAATAGCAGAAATGCCACATGAATTAAAGACCAAGCCCTTCTTTCATCCTGTCTCTCACAGGCTTGAACTTCCTTTCTGTGTGTTACAAAAGCGAGACAGGGCATTGAGTGACACACAGAGCAAAAATAATGTCAAAGGAAAACTCCTTTTGAAAGGACAAAACCCCAAAACATAACAGAAATAGACAAGAAATTGCTTTTCACCACTTCTTCAGTTATGAGCCTTGACATTTTTAAAAGGATAGATGTGTTACATGGTAATTCACTAAGCCATTATTTGTAATTTATAATTGGTAATAATAATTCTATGCATGTATACAATACCTTTCATCCCAAAGAATTTCAAAACCTTTACATATAGGAGGGACTGAATTTAATGTACTATTATTCTCCACTACATGGTACAGTAGATCCAATAGAGAAGTGAGCAAGTATGTCCCACATTAAAATAATGGGGAAATTTAATAGGTCAGTTTGAACAAGCTCAAAGTGGAATTTAACCAGGACACTATACCCTTATGAACAGTGACATGGAATATTTAATGGCCAAGTAGCCAGGACCTTGGTTTAACATCTTAATCAAAGGACAGTGCCTCTTACAGCACAGTCACCGTTCTGAGGTATTCGTTCTGAAATCTTGAATTCTGGTGTGGAAGTTCACCTCATATCTATCTACATGGCTTAAAAAGCAATAAGCATAACATTACATTTTAAGTATAAGACAAAAAAAAGGTAAATTTTGAGTTATATATATATATGCAAAGGCCAGCATGGTGGAGCAGTGGATAGCATTATTGCCTGGCAATGCCGAGACCCTGGGTTCAGTTCCAGACCTGGGGTGCTATCTGTGTGGAGTCTGGATGTTCCCCCTGTGTTCGCATGTGTTTCACTGGGTTTCTTCCCACAGTCCAAAGACATACAGGTATACAGGTTAATTGGCTTGTGGGAAAACAGTCCCTGGTGTGTGTGACATGCTTAGGACTGGCACGCTACTCAGTGTGTGTATCCTACCTTGTGCCTGTTGTTTGCCGGAATAGACTATGGCACCCCCAAAAACCTGAATTGGATGAAGTGGTTAGAAAATGGATGGTCATACAATAAAACTAATGCTATTGGTTAATAGGTTTCCTTTTCAAAATTAGCTCCCATGAAGACGTCCTGCAACAAATTCCCATACTGTATATTTGTGAATATCAGTGATATCTGTGAATTTGTGGACCAGGAACCATATGGCAGTCTCTGGATGGTGATAACCATGAGTGCTTCACATTTAACAAAATCCTTGATCACGCTGTAATACAAAAAATGTCTTAAATGCTAATGAATATGCTGCCAGATACTAACAGGTGTAGTCAGAAGTGTTAATTTTAATCCAGTACACTGTATGTATTGACTGGATTAAAGTAAAATAGTTTAAAACTCAATTTATAGAATTGAGTTTGACATTTTTAAAAGGCATTTGACATTTTAAAAATTTATAGAATTGAGTCCTGATATAAATGGTCTTGAGAATGGCAGTTTATCCATGCACAGTGTGAAACCAGTAAAGTGAGCTGAAAAGATTATTGGCTATAGGAAGCCTTAAAGTAGTACTAGCTGTTTCCATTTCAAAGGATTACACTCTTAAAAATAAAGCAAAGGAAAGGCAATTGTTCTCCAGTTCTAATGTTTCAATATGTAAAAATCATAATCCAAAGAAACCATTTAGGGTGCAATGCCCCAAATAATATAGTGTATTATCTTAGTGTATTATCTTCTAAATGTATCATGCTAAAGAGAGGTAAGTTGAGCAGTTATACAGCAATTTCTGAAAAATAGAAACAAGAATGTTTTAAATATCCAGGATCAATATTACATTGATTCTATTTTTAAACAGGAAATGCTCAGCATGTTGCCTAAAAACACAATAGCAGCCATTGACTGGTCTCACACACAGATCTCACATTCTCCATTTAAAAGAACCAATGCTGTAACGGATGAAAAAACAAGTTATTTTGAGGTTATTTATGAAGCTGATGTACACTGTACATTATCACATTGTTACTCATTCTTGGGATTCATACCTCAAAAGAATATAATCAATGTAAACTAGCATTTGAGCAAATTTCAAATGAAATTGAATCCCAGAGTATTTTAAGGGAGACACTACACCGGAATGAAAGATGTGTACACAATGCAATGTTACATGTTAATATGGAACTGAAACAAAGCAAAATGAATTCCCTATTGTTCTGTGTAGGAAGCTAAACTCAAGTTTCAATCCTATTCACAGATAATTTTCCCTCCGCCTATTTCCTACAGAAACAATAGCAGGTAAGAAAAAAAAAAGCTGTCATAAAGCATGACTTCTTACGTTTGATCAACAGTGTAGTTATCAAACTAAGATATACAGTAAGCCAAAACCTTCCTATAACAGAATTTTGCTGTCAAAGCTTTTTTTTTTAACCATATTTTCTTCAAAGTATTTCTGCTCCAGATGAATTAGCCATTTTATATATCAGTTTTTAAATTTGAACCTGTCATCCACAATATTTCAGATATCATTCAAGTCTAGGCACTTTAATGCCCAGGGAAGAAACTTCATCTCATTCCATCTCTTTCACCTTAATTGCTTGTGGATTATGACATGTTCCATATTGATGATCATCAATAGAAGTGTGAAATGAGGAAGGTTACACCCGAGTCCAAGAAACATACCTACCACAATTCCAGATTTATGTTTTGCAGGACGTTTACTGCAGGAAGACAGTACCACATACCACGCCCTCAAAAACAATTTCTCCTGAAAGAAATTGATTGGGCAATGGCTACAGTACGTCCATATACACCAAAGAGTCCCAATGCAGTTCAAATGCTATTGAACATGTCTGGAAACAAGAAAAATACACTGCAGAAACATTCACCTTTGATACACAATACACAATAAAGGGGAAATGCAGTCCCAATTTCTCAGACCAGTTATTAATATTATAATAAATATTAAAACTCAGTAACAAAATAAAGTGACAGTATCGGACAATTTTCCAAATTCAGAATTAAGCATAAATTTGTTAACTTTGCTTAAAAAGTCGCTATGTTATTGCAAACCAATGGTCTCGCCACGGGCGAGAGCCAGAGATCACAAGAATTGTGACTTAAACTCATCTGCTCACTAGTCACTGTAATGACTAATGTGATGCTATTATAGTGATTGCAGCGATGTGTGAGTGAATAAGTACCAGTTTTGCAGCAGGTATTTCAGGGTAGATATGGTACAACGTGATCTGCATTCAGAGTAAACAAATAGTTTTTGTCGGCAAAACTGTCTCAAGGTCGTGAGCAATATTTCTATTGAATTAAAAGATGGATTAACAAGCCTGCTTGTTCACAATGTAATAGGGCTTTTTCATGACACTGGAAGTTTTGTTGCCTCATTCTGAATCACAGACAATCACAGCAATATGGAGCTGCGCATACCTGGAAATTTCATTTATTTTGTGATGTAAATTGGAGATTTTACATGTTACTGTGTACATGTGACATTGTGGCTTGAAATGCACTCATCAATGCTGATTTGTTTTAACCCCCCCAAAAATAGCATTCCCCTTTTAAGTACACCAACAACATTAGCAAATCTACTGACAAAATCTATTGCATTGTGCAATGCAAAAGGCTGACAAACTTAATTTTTATTTTTTTATTAATTCACACACACATTAGAAATTGAACAAAAGAAACTTTTGACATAAACTGGTACCGTGCATGGTGTTCTAGATACACAGCACTGGTGTTCACAGAAGAGTTTCAAAGACAAAACATTATGCAGTATTAAAAAAACAGGTAAAGGTAAAGTATGTGCCACAGATGAAATATTCAACGTATTAGTTAAGAGATCAGTTAATCCCAGAATAACCACAATTAATGGACAAGGAAGGCTGAATCAACCTCTGATATCACTGCAAGACTAGGGCAAAATTATACTAAACACTTTCACTAGAGACAAAAAAAAACTGTCTAGCAAATTAATACATTTACTATAATATTACTCATTCTGAATTGGTACAGTACAGTGGTTTCCCTCTTTTGACCTTTCCCCCATAAGAAAAAAAGTTTAATACAGAAAATATAATGAAGCAGTACATAAAATGGGTTTTCATATTAATATTATGTAAGGTGAATTATCATGTACAAATGGTTTCAAAGCAGGCATTGAATGATGTCCATAATATTGCAGAAAAATTGGCAAATACTCCTCTTCTGACGTGAGAAACGCATAAAATTCACTAAATGTGCATGCACGATTTCAGTCATATGCAATGTGACATACATTTCTTAGATCACACAAGAGGATTTGGTTTAAAAAATCTCTTAACTGCTGGCATGTAGAGTATGGCAAGTTGCATCATTCACACAAAGCCCAAGTGTACATTATTTTTGAAATTTCATCAGCCATCATAAATGAACACATGGGATGTGAGGGTTTTTACAACAGTTTCAAAGGCAACCAAATGAACAGATTCCCCTTAGCTGCACAGCTTATGCACCATTGTGATTTTTGTGCAAAGTGCTATTTTTTAATGCAATAACTTCCATTTGAAGGTGTTTTTTTCAGGTATAACTGTGGCCAGCTGGCACCCATAACATCTGCATTACAGAATGGCTTTGAATTGAGTCATCACTTCCTCATTATCTCTTCCCCTTAGAAATCTATTTGATCAGCAGAACTCTAGTGCACAACACTTTGAAGACCACATGAAAGAGTTTTAGTTTTAGCCGGGATCAATGGACACTATTTCTTCATTAGACACAATTATCCATTAATTTCAGAATCAGTACTCAGAAGTGCACTCAGGGCAGATTCTGTCCAAAGAGTACCACTACGTTCATAATATTAGCATGCTATAGACAAGCTGGTTCAAAGATCTGTGCAATTCGAAATTAAGTTAGCAAAATCCTGATAAAGGGGGTATTACAGTGAGTGGCAGAGTGAATTTCCCAAAATAAAGGCACAAGCCATCTGTAACCTCTGCAATTCTTCACCTGTGTAACCAACTGAGTATTTGACTTGCACATTCTCCTGTGAAAAACACAGGAGCTGTTTTCTAATGCTGTACAGATGCAAATTTTTCATTTTCAGTGGTTAAATTCAGATGACTAAACAAGACAATGGGTTTTAATATCATAGATGTATAATACAGGGACCCGCATTATAGATCCCTTTTCAGAGTCATTTTCTTCACGATTTCAGTCAACATTAATTGTTCAGTGTTTCAAATATTGCAATACCTTATTAACTCATTAGGAAGTAACAGTGTTAATCAGAGTTCATCTTTAGTTATACTGAAGTAGATATAGCTTGAAGCAGAGATGAACATTTGAACAATACATAACTGCTGATAAATGGAATTGCATTATCATTTTCAAATACCATAGTTCCTTTACATGGATTTCATGATTCTTAACTGCACCTGAATTCTCAACACTAAAATAAATATGACAGTGAATTTAAGTAATTGTTTGCAGACCTGAATGAAAATGATACCGATTCAGTTTTCAAGGCTCATGTTTTGATTTAAGGTTCAGGTTCATTTTCTTGGGTTTTAGATGTCCGGCTATTTCCATAATGCAAACAAATGAAATTTCTATTTCAAATAACATGATAAGGCTCAATAAATACAAGCTGGCAACAGTTAAGAGAAGAGCCTCTCAGAAATATGAACCTATGAAACTCTTCCACTTTTTTTCCCAAAGAATACTGATTAGACTACAAGATTTGCAGTTGTTCAGTTTTGTGACTCACTTGAACTTTACGGAATCACATCCCAAAAATGCCATTTGAATATTAAGTTAATCAAAAACTTGGTCTACCGATTGAACACATTCAATTTTGAATATTTAAATAAAAAAATGGAAGAATGTTGTTTTATCCAGGGAAATATCTGGATCAATACTGGTAATGTACAATAATAATTTACTTTGTTAAAATACAGATAAAAATTGGTTCCAAAATGTGAGCAAAAATGTAAAAGATCTAACAGAATTACTACAACTGAGGTATGAAACTATTTGTACAATATATGGAATGTATCCCACTCCTTATTTGGCTACATTTTTTCATAAAAGATTGAGGTCAGTCATTCAGCATTTTCTTGAATAATGTTTTCCTTTTAACTTAAACCTCTCTTGAGGGGAACAAAGTTGTACGTTTTCATTTTAAGGAATGCAAACAAACTTTTTTTTCAACCAAAAAACACAGAATAATACCAATGGTCATCTAATTTGACTTTTACCTCCTTACACTTCAGACTGAAGTTGTACTAAAAAAGAATGAAAAGTTATTGAAGCTTGAGCTGTTGTAAGTCATCCCAGAAACAGCTCATGCACTGTAATCTTGTGGTTATAAAACAGTAAACAACACACTGTTATGTTCGTAAACGTTTGGCTGTTGGTTTTGCCTCTTGGGCGTTAAAAAACATTTCCAAGTCTCATTTTGTTATGTGCAAGAACACTGGAACCTTTTTGAAATACAAAAAAATGTTCAGAGAAGTCTAGTGCAATGCCAGTGTGGGTCTTGTTTTTCATACATCTCTGATAAGCTCAGTGACAGGACTTCTGTACAGGTATTTCCAAATGGCGTAGTAATGTACCGCCGCAGCCAGGGCAACAAAGATGTGCCAGATAGCATGGGCAAAAGGAATAATGCCGTCACTCTTGAAAAAGATCACACCAAGACAGTAGATAAGCCCTCCCCACGCTAATTCATGCAGTCCCTCGGTGTTATTCTGATAAAAAGAAAAGGGGGAAAAAAGACAAAGTTTATATTCTCACACATAATTGAGAAAACTTTTTTATGTGAAAAAACATTGCAAACAAAGTACATGAAATACTATGCTCATTTCCTCTGTTTTCTTTACAGTATTTAAAGCTTTAAAAATAACACAGATAAGGGATTAGGTAAAAAGGGGATTCTGTACTAGGTCTGAAAGGCTTATCTAATCAATCGTGAAGAAGATTTTAAATCAATATTTTTCTTTTTTACAAGAAACCAATCTTCTATCATTTTTGACAACAGAAAGGCTTAGCTCTAGGAGCCAGTGATTCACCCACTATCTTTGTTAATGCTCTTCAGAGTTTTTTTATAGTACAACAAAACTGAAAAATGTTTAGAAATGATATGCTAAATGTTTGAGTTTGGACCTATGATTTGTTTTCTCTAAACAGAGTCAACTTAATCATTTTAAAAGAAAATATATTATGACATGCAAGTGGTTTCTGAACTGGCTCAAGGTCATGAAAGGTGACAGCATTAAACTGTCATATCTTTGTAATAATGGAATACAATTAAATGAATTAGAAAGCCAAATATAAGGGAGACAACATTAATAATAACCCTGTATTTGTGCATAGATGCTTGTATTGTAGTGTTGCAAAACACAGAGAAAATTAACACTATCCTCATAATGACTAATTATCACAGTATTTAAATAAGTGATGTTCTTCGTAAAAAAGTTTTTTAAAAGTTAAGTTTTAGTAAAAGTAATTTTAGAAGTGAGGAACTGGCAAGAAACATTTATGTGTTACTAATGCAGGTTTAGAAAGAATCGGCCATTTAGCGTGTGATGATTGCCTGCCAGTGTTTCTGACAGTACATGATTTTTCTAAAGACTTCTTTGAAAAAGCAGATCAGTACCACTCTTTTTACTGAACTTTCATTTTGGAATGAAATAATAAGGCAAAAAAACATACTGCATCGCCTTCTTTTATATTACTTAGGATCTTCCAGTACAGTAAGACTTCAACTCATCCCTTAAACCATTTGAAATAAGTGACCAAGAATGCAACACAGAAGAAGTCTTCTCTCAGACATTACACAAACTGCTGAAACAAAGTAGATTTTGTTTAGGACTTTTTAATTCTGAGAAGGCATTCTATCACAAGAAAGCTCAGTATGTCTATCTGAGTTTATTTCTGTACCTTTTCCTTTTATTTGTTGACTAAGCTTTTAAATAAAGTGCTGAAATGTTGCTCAAGCCTAGAGTCTAAAGCTGCAGATATATTCAGATGTCATAATTCGGTTCAGGCTGATGTTATTTCCAGTTACAGTTTCCTCTTACAATGTGCTGCCAGTCACAGCACTGGCTCCGGATTGCACACTAAATGAAATAGCAGATGAGTAAAGCTGGAATTGGAATTTTGCACTGTCAGCAATCGGACAGAATTACTTTTAAAAGACAATGGAACTTTTTACTCATTTTCAATATAATGGGCTGCCAAAAAACATGAATAACAGAATATTATTTTAGGAACAATTCATTACGTATCAACATAATGCAGTGATTTGGTAAAAAGTGCTATCATTTTTTTACCTCATTTGTAATGACAGAGAAAGCTATTGAGAATTTGAGAAGAAAAATCAAATGCATACAGTACCATTGATGTCACAACCAATGCAGGAAAAAAACCCATTGTTAGATAGAAGATGAGCTCAACAACTTTATACCTATAAAGAAAAGCACACTTTAAATATTTGAGCTGATTTGATCAATTAACAAAAACATTTTCCAAAAAGACATGAAGAGCTGGGTTGTAGTTAGTTATCCATTTAAATGGCCTGGCTCTTTCTAGCAAGGAGCTTTTGAACAGACCTTAATCATGCATCCTGGTTTAAGTAGAATCATTTTATGGAATGATGTGGAATCATTTTTTATATCCTGGCAAGGACATTGTTGAACACTCAAGCTGTTCTCTTTCAGAACGGGATTTAAAAGGAAGCAAATCAGTTACTGTATATCGACAGCTACCTTGAACTGTACAAAGTTAATCCAGTGGTTTACTGACACAGAGAGGGCTGGAATACACTACAGTATATGCGTTGCAGAGTAATGGACTATGGGGGATTATAAGTATAATAAAGACAATCCTTAACATTGGTTTGCATGTGTAAAATAAAGCATTAAGAGACAAGCTAAAGACTGCACACAGCAACAAAGTCTTTAGGGCAGGGGATTTTAACCTTTTTTGGCTAGGACCCAGATTACACTTGTCAACCCATGATTCAGTTTTGAATTAACTTCCTTTTAATTAAAGTTGTCTAGAAATGAAGTATATTATTGTTACTAAAATACAACTACTGCTTAGGAAATTGGGTAATTATAATATTAAAATACAATTAACAATTAGTTTATTTAGTTACACAATAGTTTTGCAAAAGCACAAACTAGAAAACAAAATGAAAACAGTTATCAATATATTAATGTGAACCTTTGCACAGGCTTTAAATGTTGTTCAAAGTGTGGTGGTGTGTTTGAAAGGCTGCATGTGAAGTCATGCCGTGGTTGCAAAACTTAGCCTGGTTCATTTCAAAGTTTAATTTTTATGATGGCAAGTGCTGAAAAACATGCTTCATACAAGTAGGTTGTAGAGAAGGGCAGTAAAACCTTCAGAGTCTCATTTTCCAGAATAGCCCCCCCCCCACTTTGATCCAGAAAGCACTTAGTGATTCTGCTTGGTTTTAAAATTGTAGAGCAATGCCTCTGTTTTTAATATCTCAATAAGCTGAGCTTGAAAGCCAGCAATGCTTGAAACGTTATTAGTCAAATCTTTGATGTCACTGTCAAACGGGCTGTGCGCTCAGCTGTATTTAGTCACATCCTCCAGGATTTAGCAGTCCCCCGAGGAATATCTGTTAATCTCGCATGTGTTTCACCCAGGAATGCTTGCTTACCAAGAGTTATACTTGATGTTTTGAATTAATTTATTGATCATTGTCCTTTATACGAATTAATTAGGGAGTGTGACATTTTTCTTAATGAAGATAGCAATTTAATGAAGATGTTAATCTGGTCCCTAAACAATTCTTTGTTAAAGAAAGTTACAAAACATTTTTGTGTCTTAGGTGTTTTCATTAATAATAATTTTTAAATCATTCAATGCTAAGCTGTAATAACACTTTTTTTTTCTGTGGTGCTAGGATTTCTAAAAAATTAAATTATGTACAAGGAAACATCAATTTATCAAAGAGGATCACAGTGACGCATTTTTGGGTCATTCCCCATAGGCTATGAACCCCTGCCCTAAGTAAATTCTCTTACGGTATCCTATAATTGCAACTTTCTAAACTCTTTTTAAGTTCTTAATCTATTAGCATTTAGGAACACTTTTATGGTTAAGGTCTAACATGAGTCATTTCATGAGTCTGTAACATCACTATTGGGTTAGTTTCATATTCAAGGGTGATGGGATTTACCCAGGCACCAATTCCTTCAGAAGCTGTCCCCAGAAATCTGAGATTACACAGGCAAAACAAAAGCTTTCACTGCTCTGAAACAGTCTGTACTGGTTCCACCCCAGGTCAGATAACATGCAGAAACCACTGGACTTTTCAAAGTTGTATTACATATACACCAACATTCAAGAAGTTGAAGAATGTAAAACTATAGTGTTATTGTACCATACAGAAATGGCTAAGCAAATACCTTAAAACCAAGGTTTACATTGGTATAATAAACATTATGCAACATACTTAAAAAGTGATAAACATTGTAATATTTTTGTTCAAAACTAATTAGTTTCCAGTCATCGTTTACAATTATTTCCTAGAATCAGTATCATTTTTACTGACTTGTATATACTCCTTTTGTGGATTTCAGAAATACTTGCCTTAACCTACTTATAGAAAAAAAGAATAAAAAGAGATGGACATGAGATGCATGTAATGTGGAGTTTCTATTTCATGCATCTGAGTGCATTTATACTTACTTTTAATCTTACAGTACAATAATATGGGTGGACTTACTTTTCATGGTAATTAAACACATATATGGTTCCTGCTGCTGCCATGAACCAGATAAACCAGCGCATGTGCGATGCTAAGGGTCCAAGCTCACGGAGATTCAACCTGAAAAAATAAATCACACATCTACTATAAGTACATGTGTCTGTACTTATAGTAGCAGTACAGTAGGCATCCTAATGCAGTTAAATGAATCAGCTATAAAGAGAAAAAAATCAACAGAATACTTAAAACCAACTGGCTTCACTCGAGAGCCAAAGTGTTTAAAGCATGTGACAGACGTGTCACAACTACACGCATGAGAAAATGTTCTTCCCCCAGTTCTGAGTGCCTGGTGTGATGTTTTGTATCTATCCATTTTCTAACCACTTCATCCAATTCAGTGTAGTGAGGGAGCTGGAGTCTTCCCTGGCAAGCAACAGGCACAAGGCAGGATACACCCTGGGAAGGAAGCCAGTCCACTGCAGGGCAGACTCAGAGACATACACACCTAGGGCCAATTTTCCCAGAAACCAGTTACCCTGCAAGTATGTTTTTAGACTATGGGAGGAAACCGAAGCACCCAGAGGAAGCACATGCGAACAGGAGAGAACATCCAAAATCCACGTGGGTCCAGAACTGAACCCAGAGCCCCAGTGCTGCAAGGCAGCAATGCTAACCACAGTGCCACTGTGCTGTCATTAGTATCATATTTATGGTATTATATTTTAATGTAGTACAAAGGATATTAAGGATATCTACAGAATGTGGATTGCAGTATAGCCACTGAGCATTGTGATCACCTCTCAAGAGAATAAAAAAGTAGATAAGTGAAGCTGCTGGTACAGTAGGCTGCATTCACTAAACTTAAACCATTGTTTTAGTGAGAGTACAAGTATACAGTATAGTAATTAAATCACAAGCGCACAGGTGAGTGTCAATAAGCATTAAGATCAGTGTTGTGTACAGGTCTGGCCATCTATTGCTAGCTTTTATCCCCTCCCCACCAATGAAAGCAGTATTGCAATATGACCAATTTTACACACCTTCTGTTGTGCTTTGGGCCTTCTGATTGACAGAAATGTACAAGATAAACGAAATTTGAAGACTGCCTTAAATTTAGAAAAGGGCCTGTATTTGTGGAAAGTATTTCCCTTTTGTGGTTTGTATTTTGATTAATTAATGCGGTACAGAGAGAAAGGCTTCCTCTGGTTAAACATCATTGCAGAGAGCAGTTCTGTTCTAAATAAGGTCTCTTATTGCCTTTATTTGTCCAATACTGAAAGAGTTGCATTTGGATGTGGTTAGGATCCAGAGAGACCTGGTGACTAAGTCTTGGTTCTGTAAAAGGATAAGCTTAGGTACTCACTTATTGTTCATTATTTATAAAGATGATGAGTTTATGAAGTTGTCATGCAACCACACTAAAGCTTTTAATGATTGACTACAGGAAGAAGCTCTTTTATGAATTGTCTTGTTAGTCAAGCTGGTGTTGGGACCAGATTGCCACACTGATTACATTACAGGATAAGTGAGTAAGACTGAAATGTAAAGGTATCTTAAAGAAAAATGACCATGGGATTCTAACCAGTTTTACATGTTAAATACTTTTTAAATTTGTATACCTCTGTTCACTTCGGATTCCTGACTCAAGGCGTACATTCACACTTGCATATCTAGAATATATACACACAGCAGTTTGAAATAAGTAAATTTAGCTCACCACGGTGTATAGGAGGCAGCAATGAAGAAATAGATCACCATTCTATCACACATGTGGAAACAGTGCTCCACGGCCCTGCAGCAAGAAAAACAATCATTAAATCAGTTCCTATTTCAACAAGGAAAGGCTTTTGTTCTGTCAAGCAGCTGAGCAGATGGGCAACGTCTTTGTGTTTTCCCCCCACGTTGTTGCACCAAGAAGGTTCCAAGAGGTCCCTCACCTCATGTGGCTTTTCTTCCAGGAGACGATGTGAAAAACGGTGGACACCAGGAAAAGCGTGCAAAGTCCCATGCCATACACCCAGGCTGTGAGCCTTTCCCAGCGGTCGTCAGACAGACGGTACAGCAGGGCTGTGCCCACAAATGCAGGGACGATAAGGAACTGCAATGGAAAAGTGCGGTTTGAAGGTAACGTACAGCATATGCAGACACCCATCGTGGAAATGAGTACCCTTGCAGGCTCTATCACATGCACCCATTCCCATCCTGTGACAACTAGCGTTTGACAGGCATGCTTTTATTATGTTCTTCTGCATTGTCCACCCATGGCTTGTAGATGTACCATAAAGCCAAACAGAGCAGGATGTGTGAATAGACAGAAAAAAGAAAAACATTAAGAGTTATATTGATATAGCTATTTTAAAGTCATTCTAAATATAATTATTGTAACGTTAGATGAGATTTGAATTGGGTAGAATAATGCTTATCACTTAATTTAAAAGCCTGGATGAACAGCAAAGAAGGACTACTTAACCTGCAGCCTACAAATCTGCTTCATTGCAGAATTTACTTACTATCATCTCCTTAACTGATAGCTATCAGTATGAATAATGTGACTAATTTGCTGGTGGTAATAAAAAGAACTCTAAGGGAGTGCTCTGGAAGGGCTGAGTAGCTCCAAACAGCCATATTCTAAGTACTATAGACCACATATCAAACCTCTTTCACAACAGAAGAAAATAAACAATACCAAAACCACAAATATAGGTTTGTTGAACCTAACCCTTCGCTTTTACATGAATCCTTATTCAAAATTGCTTTGTTATCTGTTATACAATGCTTTATCACTATATGATGTGCTTTTCTAGAATGTTCCCCAACATACACCAGGGTGTAACTGCACCAATACTGAGGACCTCTACAATGTGGAAGATATTGACTAATACTGACATATGACTAATGTCAATTTATCCATAACAGTCATCTATTCCTCTCCCCATTAGCTAATCTGTCCTGGTTACTGCATGAAAATACTATACTGTTCCTGAAAAATCATGAAAACAAAGTCACTAAAACTCTGACAATGACAAATTGAATCTTACTGTTAGACTCAAAATGTAACTTATTTGCTTACAATATTTCTAACACTGCTTCTTGTGGCATGTAATACTAAAATTAAAGCAAGGGTTTCGCAAAAAGCGCTTACCGCATGAGTATAGCAGTTAGCAGCATGTTCATAGCAAGTGGGCTGGTAACGGCAGTTAGCAGCAGCTCTGCTGTTCATGAATCTGAAAAACAGAGTCAAGTCAAGAGTCAGTCTTGAGATTCTCACGTGCCATAGCTGTGAAGTGCCAAACACAGCAGTGTTCTCAGGAAATAATTTTAGAACATAAGTAACTTATTGAGGTTTTACAACATTACAGATGTCATTTACTTTGTTTCTGTTTCCAACAAGCAACCTAAGAAAACATAGCTCCAACTGCATACATATATTTTGATTTTTATTGTCATATAAAGACAGCTTTATAGTTTACCTAAACACGTTTTGGGACTTTTGGAAATTTAATTACAGGAAAATGAGCATCTTGGAAATGTTTACTAAAGTTGAATCAACCCCCCTCTGTTTCATAAAAGGCAAGAGAAGCTTCAGATCTTAGCATGACAATTAAACCAAGATGTGGGCAGTCTGTTGGTTTTTGTGGTATAGGAATTATCTTCACCTACCCTAACAAACACAATGCATATTCAATGATATCATGCAATACATCCTACAATCCTCGGTTCTTCTGTCAGGGATGAATACCCCTGCAGGAGAGAAAATGTTCATTAAGAAGTACTATGCCCATACAGTACCAGAAATTCAACTTCCACAACGTTAAGCTAAAAATCCTTTGCAGCAGAAGAACATTTCTTAAGGTAAGCAAATATGTCATTGTAAGACAGTGAACCTAGTGTTGATAATCTATTTGCATCTATTCAACACCAAAAACAACTTGTAACTTCAAGACAGTGTTGCTACTGAACAAACAAAAACAAAAAATAGGAATGAAGATAAATTCACCCACAATAACAAAGCACAGCCATTAAAGTCTCTTTAGAAATAAGGTGTAGAATTTTATCAGACTGCCTTTCAATCGATCAAGTCAGGTCTAGCTTTACCTTTTAATATTTTTCTCCTCCAATAAAGATATTTTAAAAACTTTTACTTTCCATCCATTTCATCAGCCTATTACAGGCTTACAGAACCTTTAGGCCTATAATTATCATTGAAAAATTTAGCACAAGGTTCACTTAATAGTTAAAGAGTTAAAAATGTAAAGCTTAGATTCAAGTGCAAATAGGCTATCCAGAGAAGCTTCTGGGAAAGCTTAATCATGAATTTCTGTAAAGCTTCCTCTTACCACAAGATCCTGTTCAGTAAACAGAAATGACGCATACAGTAGCTTAAGTGCACACTATCATATGAAAGGAGACTCTGCAGTACGCACGACAATCTTCAGTGTGCAACAGAACTGCCATTTAATGGTGCTCATCTAAGCAGAATACTAAGGCAGTCAAGAGGTTCTAATAGCTACCCAAGGCTGTATCTAGGGAAGACAGCCTACTTCAGAGCCATTTTTAGACATGGCAGTGAAGTTACTGTATAGCTATTTCTGCATTGCTTGGAAAAAAAAAAAAGAAAAAAAAGTTTTTCCCCCCAAAGATTAACAAACAATGATGGCTCTTGTTTCCTGTGCAGCTGAGTCCAAATCCTAGAATACAAGATTCACCTCTGATTTAACTTAATCAGCTTTGATGATATGGGGCACAGTGAGACAGGTCACTGTAAGACTACATTTTGGATTCCCTGCTCTCACGATTACTCATGAAAGGTCAAGGCTCTGATGACGCAGCCCTGGATTTCATGCATCTTTAATTCAATTTATAACGTCTGCACTCCTGCACATTTTCCACTGGGGCCAGCAGTACAATGCTTGTTACACTTAGCTACATTTTCAAGAAAGCGCTGTGAAATTTGGAAGTCGAATTAAACATTAAATTATTTAATATTTCAGCTTTATAAAGGGGTATTCCACAGTATTGAATATACCACAGAGGGGGACAACTGTGCACAGTTTGACAATCCTATTCAAAGAGCTAGCTTTGTATTTGAATACTGTGCGAGATAATGAAATTCCTGCCTACAGTATGTGTAATAATCAAAAACTCAGAAATACATTATTAAAACATACTCTTAAGGAGGGGAGGGAGGAAACCTTTTTTTTAATCTAAATTTTCAAAACATCTGAATTTAGAGAACAGACTTAAGTCATTGTTTCACTAAGGTTATGTGTTCTGCATTTATTATTTCTTTAATTCATACTAGTTTGTGCACAACTATCTGGTTGAATGTATAAATAATGGTACCCTCAGAGAATAATAAAATTGTTGCCTATTATTACTAAAAACATTTGCAAAAAATATATCCATTATACATTAACCATCACCAATGAACACTGTCAAAGCTCCCTAATCTGTCACACTTCAGGACTCTGCCACCAACATAAACACTAAACCTGAACCGATGTTGTCATTCAAAACATTAACACCAGTGTTTTTTTGTTTTTAAATACCAATAGTTCTTTGTAAACATTTTCACTGTACTCGATCTGGGTGCAAGGCTATGAACCTCGTGACTGCACACAGGGTGGAGACTCAGGAATTGTAGACAGACTCCTCTGTGCAGGGGGATCAGTGCTGATTGGAAGAAACACTTGCTTCCTTCTAGAGCCCAGAAGGTCGCAGGGTTCGCTGTGAAGCCATGCATGCATTCCAATACAATGAGTATTGTGCACTTGGTTTGATTTTTCATTTACCTATTGTGCTAAAGAAATTATTTTAGCTCAATACACAGTGCAAAAATCAAGTTAATGCTTAATGCACAGTTTGACTGGAGATGTGTTTGGCAGACGCATCAAAAGCACACACAACTTTTTGCAAGATTAAAATATCTGGTCTAAATATGTTTTATAGGGACATCATGTGATGAAGCATTGACAATGAGTAAATTTCCTTTACACAGTTAATAAGTAGGCTCGGTTTTTAACTAAAGACTATTAATGTCTACATTAGCTGTACCTTTAATGAAAAAAAGGTATATAATGATGAATAAAATAAACCTCATGTGCTGTGACCTAGAGTAATTTTGCATTTGATTGTTTAGAAAAAGTGAAACAGAACTTTAGAGCACCGTTTATCTGCATGTCCTAAATGATCTACAGTACACTGTACAACCAATAATCACTAAGCATAGATGGATGTGTCCCATCTGTGACAGAATATGTTCTCAGTAACACACATTTTACCACAATAGCTTTGTTTTCTAAAAAATGTAATGCAGCAATTCAATAATGAAAACAATGATGACACATTAGGAAAAAGAATACTATGTTTCTACATCATATGAAATATTCGCTACATTAAAATGTAGCATGCTAATGATAATAAATTAGGGAGATTCACTATTTAGTCATTTTATATAATGACAGCACAAATAAAAGCATATATTACTAAAGCACATTGTTAGTATTGTCCCCAGAGTGTATCTGGTTTATTTTACGGCATTTCATTCTCTTATCAAGTTAAAATAGATGTCCTGTCCATGATACAATACTGTTGAGTATATACAAAAAATATTTGTGTTCAGATAACAGCACTACTGATCTAAAAAAGTCTGCTTTTCTCAGTATTACTTAATTAAATGAATGGCACCCCAGCCAAACTGAAGAACGGCACTGTTCATAATCTTTAAATTTTCAGTCCTCTGCCTTGTTAATAACAAGCTAACTTGCTGTATAAGACATAGGACTAAGAAATTAAGATCATTAATAATATACCATGAAAATAACCATTTTTAACTTAATTTACAGAGATCATTTGTTATTGCCTTTATTTATAACAGACCAATATTTTAGTATACTGTAAATGTGTTCAGGATGTTGCTGCTATTAAAGCACACTGACACTGTACCACTGAACTGGAATAAGAGGACGAATACAGGCCCCACAAACACTCAAAAAGGAAACGTGCATTTTTCAAACAGTATGTACCAGACCTCCGTGAATGCACTACTTCATTGTGAAGGGGAAACTCTAGTACTAAAAACGCTGCTGCACAAGGACATTAGTCCGAGATCCAGATTATTCAGGGATTTACACACCCATCGGTTACAGTAAGGACATAACACTTAGGACATAAGGAAAAGGATAGAAAACTCCCTTTCACTTTGATAAACCTTTTTAGGAAATCTTTGATCTGATGTTTGCCCAAAATTTCAGGAAGCGTTTTGTTTTTGCCGACCAGTTGAGGATAACTGTGAAAGGGATTTATTTTGTTCACACAAAACGGCGGCAGTTTAAAATGTTTCTATGTTAACAGGACTCTCCTGGCAAATTCCTGAATACAATACTGTACAATATTGTCTATTTAAAATGCAGAATGACTATAATTAATTGTTCTGTACAGCTCAGTAAACACAACACCCAATAAACTGCCATCACAGCTCTAACCTGTTGGTGTTTACAGTACAAATGCTGACTCTCAGCTTCTATAACCTGTCGTGCGATAAGGCCACAATGAAAGGGATACAGCAACAACAGGGCACTGAAGCCTTAGTTCATATTGACAATGCCATTGCGAAATACAATCAATGCTACACTACAATTTGAATAGAAGCTCATATGGACAATGCTATTGTGAAATACAATTAATGCTATGTTATGGCTTCAATGGAAGTTCCAGGATGGCATAGCTACATAAATCCCCTCCAGATTCACACACAGCAAGCCCCTTTTTATTACACATTAGGAACAATTCTGCTGACCAAGATTTTCATTTGAAAAAAAGAGAATGTGAGCCTTATAGGTTTGATAAAACAAATTTGGTTGCAGGATTTTTCCACAGTCAGTGTTGACTCTTCTATGCCACAGATTATGTTTCCTGAACACCAGTTAGGATTACAGTTAGGGGATGAACAACCCATTTATGATTTCCTGCAGTCCTCAGTTATGTACAGAAAGTCTTCTATGTAAAGTAACCAATGAAACTCAGATCAGGGTCTGATGGGCTGAAAATGGTGCAGGAGGAATTGGGAACAACTGTCTCTTTATTTGGCAATGGATTCATGCTGCTAGTTACCATGGTAAAAAAAGCACAATAATGTGACCATTTTTATTTTAAAAAATATCCATCATTTAACCACACAAGCCAATTGAGAACATCATTTACAATAATAACATGGAGAGGTCCA